TCCTAAATACACCCAGACAGCTAATTTCTTTAAAATTGATCGATCCACGCTCTCCCGGCGGCATAGAGGTAAAACCACCTCGAGAAAACAGTTCCTCTCCGATACGAAACAAGCGCTTTCTAGCGATCAGGAGGAGGTTTTAGTTGATCAAATCAACAAGCTGACACAGAGATCTATCCCTCCTACAAGCCGCATAGTCAGAAACCTTGCAGAAGAGATCCTAGGCAGAGAGGTGGGAAAGAACTGGACTAGCAATTTTGTCAAGAGGCATTCAACACGTCTTAAAAGTCGGTATCTCCGTTGCATTGATAATTTGCGTGTGAAAGCCGATAATGTTGCTATATTTGATTACTTTTATGATCTGGTTTGAGCTATTTTCTATTGTTGTTGATCTTTATTACCTAAAACGCTCTTGCTAATGCCCCTCTTTTTTTAATTTAGTTGATAAAAGTGACCATAAAATACGATATACGGCCGAGAGATATATACAATTGGGACGAGAAGGGCTTTATGATCGGTATGGGGAGGACTATGAAGAGGATAATGAGTGCTAGCGCCTATAATAGAGGCAGAGTGACAAAAGCTAGGCAAGATGGATCAAGAGAGTTTATCACCCTATTGGCAGCTATATGCGCTGATGGGACAGCTCTCCCTCCCGCTCTTATTTATAAAGGAGACTCAGGGGATCTACAAGATACATGGGTTCAGGATGTAGGGGAGAAGGATAAAGCCTATTTTGGAGCCTCAAGCAATGGGTGGTCGTCGAATGCTTTTGGCCTATATTGGCTTATAAACGTATTCGACCCTGCTACACGTCGAAAAGCAGGTGGAAGATATCGTCTACTTATTGTCGATGGTCATTCTAGTCATGTCAATATGGAATTCCTTTCAAAATGCGATGAATTAAAGATTATTGTCTTAATTCTCCCCCCTCATTCTACACATCGACTACAGCCTCTCGACGTTGGAACCTTCGGTGCCCTTTCGACGAATTACAGTACATTATTGAATGATTTGATGCACAATAGCGGGGGGATTGTTGGTATGACAAAGCGCATGTTTTGGGGCATATTTAAAAAGGCTTGGGAGCTCACTTGTACGAGGCATAATATCTTACGATCCTTCGAAAAAACGGGCATATATCCTATGAATAGGAGTCTTACGATCGACTGTATTGCTCCGGAAGCTCCTCTTACGCCACCTACATCATTTAAAACTCGCAGGGATGCTCTTGCTACACCGTATACGTCAAAAGCGATGCGTAGAATGAAATTAGAATTTCGTCGCGCTCCCACCCATGAGATCACTTTAAAGCTTTTTAAGGCTGCAACTACATTAGGAGCTGAAGCTTCTATACAGGGGCATAGATCTAAAGGTTTAGAAGAGGCTCTAAAGCTTGAAAAAAGGAAAAGAGCTCGTTCAAAGCGTTTAAATCTCATTGGAGAGGAGGGGAATGGTGCGTTTTTATGGTCACCTTCTGCTATTATTAAAGCTAGAGCGTATCAAGAAGATAAAGCACTTAAAGAGGAGCAAGAGAAGGAAGCTAAGCTTCAGATAAAAGCTGAAAAGAAAGCTGAGAAGGAACGGAAGGAGATTGAGACGAAAGAGAGGGTATTGCAGAGGGAGGTTGATCGTCAGATTGCACGTGATGCGAAAGAGGAGGTTAAAAAGACTCTAAAATCAACAAAATCTCCAATCAAAAGAGATAAAAAGTTCCCCAAAGCTTCTTCTACTATAGATCTAACATCGACAAAGACTATAGAGCTTTCTGATGCTGTAGAGGCTAATAATTCGAAGGGGAAGGAGGAGGAGGTCATATTGCGATCTAGTAGAGGGCGAGCACTACGAGTTCCATCGAAATTCAAAATCTGAAGATTTTATTATGTTTTTAGATAGTATTGTATCTTATCATTTATCAATTAAATTGCTAGCTCTTTATCTTATAAATTGGAATTGTTATTAATTTTTAAAGTTATTCAAAAAGGGTGATCGAGATCGTGCATATAGCAGGGACGTGCACGTAGTAGGGAAATCGGTTACAAGGCATTAAGGTTCAACAGAGAAGAATGAGATTCTGATCTTCAAACCATTCAGTTAATTGATCAGCGTTTCCGCTTTTCTTTGAAAAAGGATCCCACCAAGGGTGATGAGCATTGAAGTCGTCTAATAAGATGGTTTCTTGTGAGGTAGATATATTATATAAACATCTTTCGATTGTGAAACCTTTCTTTTTGACTTGATCGGCTTTGTTGTATATATTGATAATTTGAAAGGTTTTATTTCCGTTTTGATATCTGAAGATCTGTATATCGGGATCTATTGGAGAATCGGGAGCTAGATGAGTGGCTCCCTCTTATTGATAAGCTCTTTTAAAAGCTAGTGTGAGCTAGAAGGGGGTTCCGATTGGTTTGAAATCTGGATTAAAGATTTTGATTTCCTCTAAAATAAGATCCATTCCTTTCAGTCCTGAGAATTCTCTTATTGGGATTTTGTAGATAATGACTTTATGCCATTCTTGATCCTTTTGAATTCTTTCGAATTTAATAATATTATTCCAAATAGTTTTCTTTTCTAAAAGGAATTATAATGTAAAGAGATTATTTGCTATAATAATGATATTGTTATTAAAGGATAGAGTAAGTACTATAATAACTAACTCTTTAATTTTACTCTTTTGAAAGACTTCGTTTATTTTGTTTCGAATAGTTAAGAAGAAGAAGGAAGTAAGATTTGGGATTTCTGGTTTGATTAGAATTGAACATCTTTGAATGATTTCAATCTTTTTGTCTATTGGAGTAGGCTTAATAGCTTTTCCTTTACTAACTAGATTCCATTCTTCTTTTTTTATTATAATTGTAAAAGTTGATTTAGTTGGTATTGTAGTAATTGGAATTGGATTTTTGACTAGTGTTTTAGCTTGCGATTCGATCTTCCATATAACTGATTCGAGATGAGTGATTTGAGATACAATCATATTGAAGGTTGTAGTAAGCTTTCCCTTTTCAATATATTCTCTAAAGATTTCAAGAAGGTCTAGAAGTTTAGATTGTTTGTTATGTGATTAAGTGAGAGTGGATGCTAGTAATATAAGGTCTCTTGCTTTTAGGATTGCTTTTTTTGGTATAGTTAGTTTGTTTTGTATTCTGAGTTGTTTGTTTTAATTGTTAAGAGGTATTGTAGGATTATGTTTTTTATTCTAATTGAATATATAGGTAGTATTGATTGTATTTTGAGTAATAAAGGGGTCACTAAGTAGATTGAACTTTTCAACTCTTTTTTCAGAATTGGTTAACTAGTTGGTTGGTAGAATAGGGCTAGAGATTTTGAATTGAGGGTTTTCAGAAGGCAGGGGAGGGCTTGAAGGTATTGGGATATTTAGAGCAATAGTAGGATAAATATTTGATATAATGAAGGCTTTAGAAGAAGCCTTTATTATAGCTGTATCCCTAAATATTAATGAATTATTGAAACAATTTATATTGAGGATTTTATTCTTATTTTGATAATTTGAGGTAAAAATTTTATATGAATTTTTGTATACATTTTGTGTTTGGAATGCTGATGATAGTATTACAATAATTACTGGTCAGAATCATTTGGGGATAATTGCAATCAATTTGGTTTAATAATTATAATTTAAATCGATTACGAAAGGGTTGTATTTTGAAGAAAAAGTTTCCTTTGAAATTTGTTATATGAAAGAGATGCTTAAATAGGGGTGTTAATGCAAATAAATACAATGCTAGGAAACATCAATCAAAGTCTAAAGACTTCTTATGATAAGTGAATTACAAAGAGTTACAATAAGATGGAAACAAAGCTCAATCTCGAAAGTCTCATCGATACTTCCACTGTTGCTCCAATACTCACCCTGATCGGATGATCAACAGCGACAATCCCAACTTCCGTAGCGGTGAGCACCTCATTGATAGTCGATCATGGTCCTATTCCTACAGGTTCAGTCCTAAATACAACAAGCTTTTCAAACTCACCAAGCTCATTTCCTGGATATACAATTACGTTTTTTTTGATGTTTGTTGGAGTTTGGCATATTGGCGGTCCAGATTTTAGACCTTTCTGAAATTCACGAGAGGGAAATAGCTACATGTAAAATATAATAGATTTTAGGCTAAGATACATTGCAGCAACCAAAATTTGTATATGTTGATTAAAAATTTCGTCGAAGAGATGAGCGTAGATGCTCTCACATGACTATTTTTTAAACTTTAGTCACATAGCCTCATCTTCTGGTAAACTTCCTAAAGTATCTTGAAACTTCTTTCCTACATGAGAATCAAATTTTTGAGAACGATAGAAAGGGTGTAAGTGATGTGGCTCAGGAGTTGCATCTTTAACGATGCTCTGCAGACTGGTATGATGAATGACGATTTGAGGTGTTTCAGTAGAATTTTCACGATCGGAACGCTCTATACGCAGTTGATGACTGTTCTTCAGACTGTCTTCAACTTGGGACTTTGTAGTCGAGTGAGTAACTATTCGAGGAGGTTCATTAGAAATATTGTTGCCCTTTGATTTAGACGACTTTAAGATACAACAAAGAGAAATTCAATGTATAGTGGCTAAATCTATTATTAGAATTTTTTATCGAGAATGCGATATTGAACTTACTAATAAACTTAAGATCGCAGACAGTTTAGGATGATTTATAGTGCGAAAAATGACAGGAATAAGTTATTAAATAGAATTAAATTTGCCAGAGTATTGAGACAATGATATCACAAGAGCATAATGTCCATACAGAGATACATATATGTACAAGTACAAGTTCCACGGTCTTATTTTATCATCATCAATTAATGCATTAAGGCTCAAGGAGGTTTGCAAGTGCCTATTTTGGCATCAGTCAATTTTTTCAAGTACAATTTAAGTTATTGATAACGATAAATGCGAGGTACAACGTATGAACTAGGAGATTCAAAAACACCGAAGGATTTTCATTCCCTTTCAGGACATGATGAATGACTGAAAATAGGGAGGCGTCAGGATGAACCAACGTGCCAATAAAGCGCCCGAATAAAGATAACAAATTCACTTAATGGTGACATGATTGCTGCAGTGCGACGACACTGAGGGAGAATGTTACGCCACATTTTTGTGAATTGTCTCTCATCTCCTCGATAAATCTCGTATTCGACAACTGGAACGGCATCCTTAAAGCAAATTTGCAACATATCAGGGACGCTGGTAGAAGGCTGGCATGCAACTTGAGTGAACCAAGTAAAGAAATCTTGGGTTTTGACATCGGGCCCGAAAGGAGCATTACGCAGCGGGCCAGTGAATTTGCCATCTGCTTTCTGGACACGAACTACGATTCCTGGCTCGCCAGCTAGTTGGTACTGATTAATGAATCTTCCAGTATCCAACTCGCCAAGAGGGGGAAGCTTGCGGAGGGGAAGGTTAATCGGTGGAAGAAGAGTGGGGGCTTGAGTACCAAGTTTGGTACCATGAATTCGAGAAGAGGCGAATTTTGAGACATGAGACGGTGGCCCAGTAGGAGAAGAGTTGGAGGGCTCCATAACATGAAGTAGCGATGAAGAGTCGATCCTTCTTTCCTGTTCATAGTGCGGTCCTAATACTGATTTTTTCTGATTCTGCCTTTGCGAGTTCAATGGTTTCGGTATAGAAAAGATAGGTGTCTTTTGCTCGCACTCATGGTAAAATTTAAACAGCTTTTCCTTATTCTCGAGAGGATACTTCCTGCAGGAGAGAGAGAGTCGAACCATATTCTCGGGGATCACGGCTATCCTATACGTTCGAAGATTTCCTTTGAAGTGATTAAAGGTTTCGACGAAGTCGAAAAACAGATGTTGCTTCAATATGATACCTTCACAATCAGAACGGCCTACATCCACTGGGCAAGATGTTGGATTGAGTGACGAATCCATATAGTGAAACCTGAGTCCTTGAGATTCATCAAGTCCAAATTTCTGACTATACCATGTGTGAAAATTGAAATCTTCAAGGACTGGCCCAGCAGGCACCATAACCCAGAAACCGCGTTCTGGAGTTATAATTATTGCAGTAGATCGGAAGCATTCTAACATTGTATTGATTTGCATGATCTTCTCTATGGGTAAAGAAGTCATGTTTCCTGAATCGGAGATGCTATGGAGCTCCTCATGTGATGATGTGGTATTTGTATCGCGATGTGCTCGAGCCGTGCGAGTCGGAGATTGGTTAAGGATCATTTGTGAAGGTGGTGTTTGAGGAAGTGCAGGATAAATGATTGGAGTGCGGAAACTTTTGGGTGTTATTGTTTTCGCTGAATGGGGAGAGAGTTCGTCTCCTGAAAAGACGTTATGGGCTTGGCTACGTAGCTCATCTCTCTCGTTTACACGCCACTCGTTCTCCGATCTTGTGTCAATAACGCAACCATTTTCCCCGCTTGAATTCGAAAAATTATTCCTTTGATTAGAAAGTGGTTGTTGCAATTCGGTATCGATCATCCCCGATTTTTGGAGTGTGATCGGATGAGTAGTATTGATTTCCACATGGACATTCGATACACTGTTGTGGTCTAGATTTCCGTTAATCTAGTGTTTTGAAATCCAAGTAAGATGATTTCGAAATTTACTTACTTATCCAATTTTCCACCAAATCTAGACGATCGTACGTGTTAATAGTAGTTGTGTCATCAACGGCCATGTGTTGTCGAACCTTCTTGCTGTTTCCGTCTGCGGAACAGATATCGCCAGCCTTTCTCTGGTGAAATTAGATTAGTCATGCTATAATAAAGCCCAATAAACGTGATGAGACCGACCTTTGCAAATGATGCCTCGTTGGCCAGAATGTTGCTCTCATCTGATTTAAGACGGACAAACTGTTCTCGCGCACGCTCCCAACACTCTTTGAACATCGAAGACTTCCGGAAAATGGTTTGAGTTTTTGTGAGATACCCTTGAGCATACCAGGTAGTGATCAAATCTTTCATCAAGCGATGACATCGCTTTCTCACATATCCTACAACCCGAGGTTTGCTATCATATGTAGTCTTGGATAACAGAAAACTTGTAACATCAAACACTATTGAGTTCTTGCTCCTTTTCCGCATCTTGACTGGAACTTGGTACTGATCATGGGCGTGCATGTACCATGAGATACACTTGATGACTTCTTCAGGCCATGTGGTACACTAAATAATCAGTCAGCTTTGTCCTAATTCGAAATGGAAAGATGAGTACCGAAGACAAATCGAGATCCATGCGATCAATATTCTCGCCATACTTCAGAATGGGGTGAAAGAATAAGGCATATGTGGTGAATTTCTCAAGATTCCCTTCTAGCTCTTTGGTCATTTCCATTGCGGGAAGTGAGGTCTCGGGGGATAATCTAGGTATCGATGATAGATTGAATTACACGAATCTCATTGAAAACATGTATTGTTTAAATGCTTTTTTATGCGGCTTGAGGGCGGTGATCTCCAAAGCCAAAATAAGAGGTGCACTAAAATCGATTGTAGTTAAATATCTCTATGGGGGCGCTTACCTTGCCATTCAGTTGTATAAATTCAACCATTGCCAGGTTATCTCGCTGAGCACTTCGCGGAAACGGACGTCTCCATCTATTACAAGGAGTTCATCATCATTGATCATCCTCACAACCCTGCAGTCCGGTAGCCCCGCACCCTTGCAGCCACCGCCTCACAAAGTCTGTGCCGTTCCTTCAAGGGTGTTCAATACTTAGTCAGCATACGAGACTTATTTTTCATGAGGAGATGTGTAAAACGTGGGGTTCCTAATATTCTCTTCATGCAATGTCCAGTTTAAGAAAAGTTCAATTTGTGACAAGTCCAATCTAGGTCGGGTCGATTTCCATGATGAGTCAGCAAAAAGCATCGGATTTAAATCCGATTCCGTTTTCCAACTCACGTCCCTGCTCAAGTGTTTACAGTCAAGATGAGAATCCTTTTGAGGACAACTTCTCTTTGGAAGATCTTGTAATTAAAGTGGACGAATTTGAGAGTATCTCAAAATCAAACACAGTTGCACACTTGATAAGAGAGAACCAAATCATGTATCGAAATCTTATATATTATCGACGAGAATGGGATGCTTTAATGGATTTGCTGGACGAGTTGATGGATTCCGTTTTATTGATCAGAAGCACCTTGAAGGAATGCGATGATAAGATCGCAGAAGCTGAGGCTGCCTGGTTAGCATTTTGGGGCATTGTTGAATCGTCACGTGCAAATCACTGGATTTAAAAAATAGTAACAGAAGTCTGGTGATTTAAATTGAGACAATGTCATGGTGCGGGTAAAGACTTATATTATAACATAAGGGTTGAAGAGCTATGGAAGAGAGAGGTCCTACTTATAAGAAGTAGGGCACGCTGGTGATTGGTGCCTAAGGCACGAAGGCAACTACAGAGCATGTAGTTAGCGCCGTTAGAGAAAACAGCTACAATCTATTTTAAATAATTTCAGCCTGTACCTGTTGCTTTAATGTTTCGAGCTCGGCTATCTTTCTATCTAAGATCCTCACTTTATCATCATAAGCAGCTCTGGCATCCTTCATCTGCCGTGGGAAGGTCGATAAAAATTCAGCACAATTCTCACTAAACAATAAGGCGGGCTTGATATAAGTAACCGATCTGAATGATAAGTATGAGTTTGAGGTTCAATGAGTCTTGGTGTGAGTTACACTTACTCATTCCTGATATCTGCCAATTCACGTTGAATGGCCATCCTTATCCTTTGTTCGGTATCAAACTCTCCCTTCAATTTGCTTATTATTTGCAGGAACTCGGATCTCAAATCAGAGTACGACTGATTATCGTACTGATTCTGGCGCTGATTATCTTCTACACCGAAAAAGTGTGATGTGTTCTCGTAATCCTTCTGTTTTTCAGCGTCCTTATTTGAGATGTCGAATTGAAAGGAGCTATGCGTACGCTTTTGTTGACGAGACATTGTCGAAGAATTCGAGACTGGTGGTGGCATCAATGGGCGAGAGTTGAGTGTAGATGATGCGGAGAGATGAGCATGTGGGTTGAAAGAAGTAGGGTCGGGATGAAAGTTCGTTCCGTTGAGGTGCTGAAAGCCCGATGGGTTTGATTGTGGCAGGTTGTTCGTTGTCTGGTCGAGGCTTGAAGGCTGGCCATTGCCACTCTCAATTTTATGTCGCTGATTGGTATTGTATGACTGAATTGGCCTCTTGTCTTGATTAGACGGCGAACATCGAAATTTGGATGGGTTCTGATCGGAAGTAGCAGACACCGTGTCTTTCAACCAATCTTCGAAATCGTCCATGTTTAATTGAATGTCAAGAATTACTATACATTAAAATCATCTACCCGTCTCTATATACTAAGGACGGTCCCAAGAGTCTGGGGAGACAGGGACAGGGACAGGAACAGGAACAGCGACAGGGACAAGGACAGGGAGAGGGAGAGGCTTATGGATATCCGTAAGAACCAGGATAGATATGGAAGGCGGCAATGTCGATTATACTCACCCTCTCACCCTATCTTATTTTCTAAAAGAGACCTTTGCTTTTTTTGGTTTCATAATTACCACTTTTTTTACCACGAAAATTACTATAAAGACAACGGTGTGAGCGATACAGGTACATCAGTTTCAACCTTATTATTGAGATTACAAATATGAACTTCGAGGTTATTCAGAGAGCAAGTCAAACTTATAGATGCATTAGTGAAGATTTGTGTTGACCTCTCTCAGGATGTATACCTTTGTTCCGAAAGTCACTTTGCCCTATTCAAACATGACGCAGAGATCCACAGATCATATGAAGAGCAGATGGAAGCCGCCAGTGAGCGAATTAAACAACTTGAGTCAAAGCTTCAAGATCAAGCATTACACCTTAGTGAATATGATCTGACGCAGAAGCGCCTATACGAGAGTGAGAGAACCCGAAGACTTGAGGTATCTGCTCGGCTCCGTGTACAATGCCACCTCAAAATTGAACAAACCAAATCCCTGGAGTTCGCTCAAAAGGCGAAAGATTTGCAAGAGCGCTTAAAAAAGATGGCGGGAGATTACACGGCCTTGCAAGCCCACTTTTTAAATACCATACATTCGATAACGACATTTAATGGTATATTACGAAGCGAAACTGACGAATTATACCTTCAAGTTATGCAAAATAAGACCGAAATCATTCACAATCAGCAAGTTATTCAATCTTTAGCTGGTAAACTATTTTTATATGAGGAAAACGCACATAAGGTTCTCGAATCTATTAAATTGACGCAGTGGAAATTAAACGACTCAAAGAGACCAGCAGAAGAGACAGATGCGAACGATCGAGTTCCAAAGAGATTGAAGGAAAGCCAGGTCTGAAGAATTGAATATGAATGAATACAGGGCTCTGTTGATAATCCTGGATTATTCTAACACTCAATTCTAGTTTTTGTTGTTACTTAGATGATGGAAATCGTGACAAGATAAGATCTTGCTTAAAGAGTTCCGTATGATTCTTTGACGTCCTCGTAAATGTATAAAGAGTTCCGTTCTATCTATAACTGTTGTAAAAATTTCTACTCCGCATCAACAGATCCAAAAACTTTATGAGATAAAAATGCAAAGAATCAATAAACTATCTCCCAAAAGCTCATCAGACAAGCCGCATGCGCCAACGGCTATTGATATTCAAATAGGACTTCAAAGAGGCTCCACCGCTGCACTAGAAGCGACACCTGAGCGTTTGCAAGCAGCCAAACAAATGCAACACCCAAGTACAGCTCAAAGAATTAAGAAGCTGACGAAGGAGAATGGCCAATTAAGATTGGAAATACGTTATTACCAACGAATGAGAGATGCAATGCAGGCACTTTTCGATGATACAAGATTTATCGTAGGCGGATTGGAGAATACGACTAAAGTATTAATTCAAGTTCAGAGGGATGCCGAGAATGATTGGTGTGATGCCCAAGGAGAATTTTCTTAGTTTGATTGTTATAATAAGTAAAGCATATCATGTGATAAACTATCAATGCATGTAGACTAACTACATTTAATTAAATTGTTTCAAGAATGTGAATCGTTGCCTCCGAATCACTCGTCAGCTATTCACAATATGGCCAGGGTAGTCGGCAAGTATAGTCCGCGTCAGCAGCGGTAAAAAACTCCCACTATTGTATTTTATGGTATCCACTAAATCCCGATACTTTGGGTGCAATGTGTGATTCATTTCGAGAGAACAACTTTTGATAATTCTATTTATGACAAGTCATCGTGTGATCATCACACTCCAACCGAGGCACATTTCATACGGTAGTGAAATGGACGCAGGTTGGTGGCTCATTTTAGGTGGATTGTTGTATACTTTCTAGCCGCATTTGCACGCTTGTTTGAACTTAAACAGAAAGACTCTTAATTTGGACTTTCTTAGACCAATATGATTTCTGAGACCTCTCTCAAGATAAAGGAAGCCTAATTATGAAACATTTATCATATCCCTTATATTTTAGTCGTTTATCTTTCAAGGTGCAATCATATTTGACGAAATGTCTGATCAGAATATACTCGAGTTACAGCGATTCAAAGAGTCTCAAGATCGTTTACGATCTCGACAGTCATCTAGGAAGCGGCAATATGGATTACTGAAGAAAGCAGAGCAATTTCGAAAGGTAGCAAACCTGGATGTAGCCATGATTTTGTTCGATCCTATTTCTCAACAGTATTGTACCTATAGGTCAAGAGATGATGAATCCTGGCCACCTTCTATTATGGAAATAGTGAGTACGCAATCTATTCGCTCAGAAACAATTCAGTTGATTGATGAATCGCAGACCAGATTGAGCAATTCAGTCAATTATTTGCCAGAAGATTTCGAGCTGAAAGAAAGAAATGCAACTGCAGTTGATGAAAATATTCATACTGGGAAGAAGAGACGAAACAAAATCCCTGACATCTCCTTGAAGCGCAAAAAGGCAAATTCAAAAATTTCAGATACGGAATACAGACCAAAATCATCACTACAGCATCATGAGGAGATCGAACCATCGCATGAATCATCTCCTCTTGCTCCAGAATCATTAGTGGGGGGTTTTAATGGCTTGATCAACGAAGACGCAACGGCCGCTTTGATAATGTCAGGAGAAGACCTTGAATATTCTGGTGGAAACGATCCATCAATTCATACTAACATTCAGCAACCACGTGATATACCTCCTCTCATTCTCGGACCATGTAGTGAAGATTTGAATGATCCAACTCATGATCTGTCATCCTCAATGTTGATTCCAGAAGATAAACTGGACTACTCTAAACGAGCTTCACCTGATCCTATCACAAAAACTTCCCTCTTTCAATCGTCCGTGGACTCGATCTCATCTACAATGCATTACACTACACATGAGAAACCAGAAGACTTATCATCGATATCAACTGAGCCAATACCCATGCCACGGTTACCAGGATTTCTAAGAGATCGATTTTTTAATGAAACAACATCATCAACGCAATCGCCAACTTATGAGCTCCCGGACTTCGAAGATGCCTTTGAAAATAGTGTGCTGGGCAAGATATTCTGAGGGATTTTCAGTTTACATGGACGGTCAAACAAATGTCACTTAGATGGATAGAGCGAGCTACTTGAACGAAGTATCGAAACGATAAAGAGCTGAGTTTGAGAAAAACGGAATAGCGCTGTAGCAAGGATTGATACTGATTGTTTTTAAATTCCTTATAAAAGATTAGAAAAGTACTTTATCTGTGAAATCTTTCCTACCATATAGAAAAAGTACTAGAAGAGTATCGAAGAAGTGAAGAAATTGATGCTAGTTACTACCAAGATTAAAGTTGTTTTGAGGTCCTGGTTTCAACCAAACTGTTCTAGGGTGTACTTCAATGTTCATTGTGTATTATGCTGTATACTGTGCTATATATAAATACCACCCACTATATTAATATATATTCATCAATTAGACAAATAAAAACTCGATAAGCTTAGTGTTGAATGAGAGGTCCTCAAGTTAACAGAAATCACCACTATTTTCTAGGAAGAGTTTTCCACATCGATATCAAGCATGCGATATATTCAAGCATGTCAAATTATCAATATAGTATAGAATACTAGCTCACATGAGTGTAACTCATGATACTAACCTGAACAACTTCTTCTAAGTATTAGATGATGGATATATTGTTGCAATTAGATGTAGCCCAAGGTTATGAGCCGCGGGTAAGACTGTCATCACCTTCCAGCCACCTTGATCGAAAGATTCTGTTTTGACTTCTCTTACTTTGAACATTCTTATTTAGACGCCTCTTACTTAATCATTTCTTTATACCATAGTTATACATGGATTGATTTCATTAAAATACTAGAACTCATCTAAATAAAGTGATTATTTATGAGAAGCCAAAATAAGAACCACCTAGAATCAGAGGGGCTGACTTTAAACCCACTATTCTTTGTTTTGACATTAGCAATACCACGTTTTAGAACCTTGCATAATAACAGTTTGACGCGCTCGGTCACATTTCTTATCTTATCTCTCACATAGAATTATGGTTTTGAGCCTTGTAAAAGTTCCCGCCACGGCTTACCGCACATTTAACGCTTGTTCACCTAAAATCCCTGTTTTTCTCACTTTTCTAGATCTCTATCAAACCATAATCTTGAGAACCCCTTATTTTTGCAAGGATTATGTCACAATTGTCGCGGGGGTGGGCCGTTAGCCGTGGCCAGAACTCTTACATGATTTTACTACAGTAGAACTTGTATACCGGAATAAAAAATTGGACCAACAAAATCCGGTGTAAAAAATAGTGATTAAAGCGTCCCAGTCAATACTGATATCCGACTTTAGCTCCAAACCACAATATTTTTGAAAAATATCATGTCATAACTGCTAGTCAAGCTTGTGCAGCCAAATCTACAACCAAAACTTATACCGGATTCGCAAAGAAGTGTCCTGTACTCCGGGTTTACGCAAAAATCCGGTACTCTCACATGAAAAGTAGTCAAATCAGGAAATTATTCCAGTATTCTCAGGATCTCAGTATATCCCAGTCCGATGTAGCCAAGTTCTACTGCGGTAGCATTATTTCGGATTGTTATCTTCTCAATTTATCTCGTAAGACTTTATGTGGGGTTCGGCAGTTCGAGTCATTATCCGTTGCCTTCGGATAATCGAGCCGGATGATTTCTTGTCTTCATAATCCTAAGTTTGGTCAAGAAACTCTTCGCGCTATCTCCGGAGAATCCGATGACAGGGAAAAGAAACTCTCCCACGGCACGCACGGAACTCACCGCTGTCTCCGCGTTTTAATTAGCGTCCCATAACCCTGTCTCGGTTCCAAAGCATCGGGACACTTAATTCCTAATTTGAACAGGCCCTTACCGTAGAACATTGGCACCCCAAAATTACCCCAACGACGTCTCGTTTTGGGCACAAGATCAAATAACACACAGACGTGTGATTACAAATTCAGGCCGTCGGCCATAAAATCTTGCTGATCTCGTAAACCAATTCAAGCGTAATACCTTCCTTAAGCTTGGATATACCCAGATCGAAAAGATGTAATAAATTAACTACCCACTTTTCTAACAGTTACTACCTCTATATTGCCAATCTTGTAAATCAATTCAAATACAGTATCTTCCTTGAACTTGGATATACCCAGATCGAAAAGATGTAATAAGCTAACCACCCACTTTTCTAACAGTTACTACCTCTATATTGCCAATCTTGTAAATCAATTCAAATGCAATATCTTCCTTGAGCTTGGATATACCCAGATCGAAAAGATGTAATAAGCTAACCACCCACTTTTCTAACAGTTACTACCTCTATATTGCCAATCTTGCAAATCAATTCAAATACAGTATCTTCCTTGAGCTTGGATATACCCAGATCGAAAAGATGTAATAAGCTAACCACCCACTTTTCTAACAGTTACTACCTCTATATTGCCAATCTTGCAAATCAATTCAAATACAGTATCTTCCTTGAGCTTGGATATACCCAGATCGAAAAGATGTAATAAGTTAACCACCCACTTTTCTAACGATTACTGCCTCTATATTGCCGGAAGCTATAATATGCATTCCGGATGCAAGTAAAACCTTGTCATGACGTGATAAATTATTATCACGGAGTATGGCATGGAACCTCATTTTTAATCATATCGAATAGCGTGAATACTCTCAGGATACAATCATCATTCTACGATGGTGGAGACAGGGAATCCGAAAATATCCGTAGACAAAGTGTTCCAACACTTCGATCTTCTATCATATCGCTCATTTGAGTAGTTGAAATGTACAAGATCTCAACTTTCTAGGGTTCTCATCTTCATCAGGGACTCGACATGGAGTTCTATCGACACAACGAATTTGTTAGAGTTTGTATATATCAATGTATTATGAACGATTTCGGCTTGTATATATGGCTTTTGATCAGAGTACGATTTGTATTATACTAGAAGGGCTTATAAGTACAAAGCATTCCTACCCGGACCCAAGACTCCGCCTGCATCCATGCTCCCACATACTCGAATATCAACCAGAGAAACGAAAACTCTTCGATAACTATTACTTCATTTTATTCATAATTTATATTCAGATAATGAATCAAGTATACCCATACTTTCCTTCAGAATTCATCTGTCCCTCACAAGCTCAATACGATCCCTCTTACTTCGTTCCGCAATATATGGCTCTTCAATAAGAACTGATTCAGGGGGCTTTTTACAATCATGCAACATCTTTGCTTTCTTCGCCCGATCCAACATCCTTATTATCTCTGTCTCTGTTTGACACATCATCTTCACCACCTCTTCTTCCATTCGACATAACATCGTCAATAAATCTACCTACATCTGATATAGTGGGATCTTCACCTTCATATTCGACTTCCGAAGATAATGCCCCGTTTATTCACTGGAAAGAGAAAACTCACTTGAAAATTAAACTGATGCTTTGGAAGAGGGAAAAAAAACCTGGAATTTCATAGTAGATGAATTTGCCAAGAAAGGTATTAGGAGGAGCAATACGTCATGTTGGTACTCATACTACTGTAGAACCCTAAAGGAGGTCAGTATTCTTGTATCCAACTCCTATAAAAATAACTAATATTTACTTAGATGAATCATCTTAAAGATGCGGTTCAAGCAGATATTATACACAAGTGCGAACGTTTGGGAGAGTCAATTTTAGACCCATACATGAGGCACGCGGATTATGACGGATGTTGGGAGAGAATTTCTGCGTTGATGGAAATTCATTGTAGTAGATGGACCCCAGCTCGAGTCGAGTATGCTTGGACTCATGGTGCAGCGAATCTTTTCCCCGACGTTGTATTAAGTTCATGATGATACTTTATTTCCATTGAAAACTTTGCTGTATATTATTACTATTTTCGGTTTCTCAGCAAGGAAATTCATCGCGTGGTGACTAGCAACTAATTAATTGATTTTAAGAAGCATTAAACGTGTGATAGTGTAACTAGACGTTGATGAGTAGTTGATTTAGAGGGTAATGGTCCCATCGATCCCAGGTGTCGGTTTCACAGGAATGCGTTTTCAGGTTTCAGGCAACAGTGTTAGAGGAGGAGGTGCTTTCAAGTAGCTTTTGGAGCATTATTCATGTTGGAGCAAGATAATTGTTCTCAGTATGACTGAATTTACTCGTGCTGATACAATAACTGGAACAAAACACTCGCTTATAAAAGAGCAACTGTTATGGCTGACAAGTTTCGCGCACTTGGTGTCAGCGTTGTACTTGGTCCAGGTGCGTGACTTCTTTCAGTAGCCCGAAACAAGTTCATCGACTGATATGAACAGTTGTCGGGCCACTGGGATGCGTGGCTCAGGGAGGTAGAAATTGAGAAGGTAAACTCAGTATTTTATTCATCTCATCACTTAAAGAGGGAATTTTTCCCGGAGATTTTTCGAATGATCCATATCTTTGTAGTTCGTTGGCTTTTAAGAAAGGTTATAGAATACAAACGCAAGGAGTAATAGCTAGTACCAAGGTAGGCTTTTTAATGATGTGTCTTTCTGATACACGATAGATCTGATCTCTTGAATTTACAGCACTACATCGGTTATAAATAAAAGACTAACAAAAAATCTGTTATCTCCATGCCCGGTCAGAATATTGAGTCAATTTCTTCAAATATTGATGATAAAATCATGCACAAGCTTTATATATAGCTTTTTCAATGAAAGTCAATCTCATCTACATGTCAGCTTTTTCTAATGCTCTTCTAGATGCTGTACACGCTGGTACTGGCAGCGTCATGTGTTCTTACAATCAGGTCAATAATACCTACGGCTGTCAAAACAGTAAGATACCGAATAGGTTATTGAAAACAGAGTTGGGATTTAACGGATTTGTGGTTTCATATTTGAATGCCCAGCATTCATGATATTTATTTGCACTCTCAGGCTTGAAATTGGCAATGGTATTACCAGGTAAGAACAGAACATGCAGTACCTGGCCTTCCTCTGTAACATTTGAGATATAGGTTATGAAGTTTTCTAGGGCTCAAATCTAATGACGGCTGTTAATAACAATCCTATACCGATATCAATGCTAGATGATTTGGCTATATGGTGAGATAGAGATAAAATGAGCTATCTAAAACAACTAATGAAACTGCAATCAAGGATTTTGCAATATAATATCAGATGGGTCAGGATGAAATTTGCTTGTCATTTAGTAACGGCATCCCGTATGATCTTCTTATACCTTATATGTCAATCAAGGGAAGATACCCCGCATCGAAGTAAATATTGCTTGAGAGTGTAATACAAGGATATGCGTTGGTAAAGAATGTGGATAATGCCCTACCATTGAGGTTCTCAAAACTTCTTTTGTTATTTAGCTACGATGCGAAGGCCCCTGATTATAATAGTACCAGGCCGGGCTATTTATTATGGATATATGACTTTGAAGTTGCAGATATAGATTAGGCTTTTCTATATTCTCTTGATTATCAACCAGATATACCCATATCACAAACTTCGATAAACAGTATACTAATTAGTGGAAGTAGTTCCGGTTTTAATAATCCTTCCATATTAGTTTGCTTCTCAATATGATACGTTAGCGGGCCTTTGATGATGGAGATAATATTTTCTAGGACTTTATCAGCTTTAATGCGACAGCAAAAGTTGATTGGGCATTAGATATATATTTGATATTCATTGATACTTTTTGTTAATGAAATTATTAATTGGATTGGTTTTTATAATAATTATCCCGATAGGTTAATCAACAATTTAAACTGAATATTATCACATTGAAAAAAGATTGTTGAAATATAGGTAGATTGCGGATTAATATGATAATACTATTATTAAAATATAGAATATATATGTATGCCTTATAGATTAATTCATCAAGTACGATAATGTTACCGCTGTTATATTTGCTCATCTACCAGAGCGAGAATGTGGTCGTGTTCTCGCCTCTATCTACCTTCTGGTCAACCCTCGTATTATATTACTAAGAATGAATCTGACTACGATATAATTTTGTCCCCCTCCCAATTGTCAACTCCAGACACAAATTATGTATCAAACAATGAGGTTGTCTATGTAATTCAAGTTCTCAGAATTGTAAAGAAACTTTCGTGGCGTTTCAAGATATCTTTGTATGTGAGGTAACCCGAATCTTTTGGTAAGTTATAGCAGTAGAAGACAATACCTTCCAACTGAAAAATGTCGTTGAGTATTCTTAGTATAATTATAGTCTGATTTCTCCCAAACTTAGATTATAATCACTGAGAAGCCTAATTAATTCACTTCATATATTATTTTAATTAGCATCATCTAGTCTTACTTGACATGCCTAAATAGATGAGGGTCATAATCAATCTCTCAACGTATCCTATTTTGATCTCGCTAAATTTGTCTTTTGTTTTATTTAAAGGATATATAAAATTCATTGTAATTTAAGGTTCCTTCTTAATCAGAAGACCTGCTTATGTGTAACAAATTTTTAAGTCCTTATCATTGTATTCATCTTTTAAACAGAATTTGCATTCTCTAAATAATATCTCTATCCTTTCATTCATTTCAAAAACTCTCTACTGAGGTTTGTGAAATGATATGGATAAAAACCTTGATTTACAATCGCATTATCGTGTTTGACTTCAAAGCAAATCTTAGGATATAGTTACACTTGATACCAAAGCCCGCTCTTTTCTATATCAATTAAGAATCAAAGTATTATGTTTCAGAATACTACAAAAAGTTTATATCTTATCTATATAACATAGTATCGAAGACACAAATTATACATATAAATCCCGATAATGATACTTGCTATTTTCTCATTCCTATTGGATTATCATCTGTCAACGAAAAGATGTTTCATAAGATGTGTGTATTTCTTGACGATAACTACCTCCCATACTGTGCTGGTGTTCGGCCAAGGCGATGGGCTTTCGATGTAAAGGTTCTTATCTCACGTGGGGCGTCGGCTGAGTACCGTGCCAGGATGTTTTTATGGATGGGTTGTGTGATTAAGCGAATTTCATGGTGTTATGTAGTATTAGGGGATGAACAAGTTGATGAATTTTGTATCATGATTACCGACAACGACACTACCGATATCATATGCCAATCTGACGAGCTGCATTGTATGAAGATATCAAGGATCTTCAGTCAGGAACTGAAACCGAAGATAATAGCAGCAAAAGAGGAGTTTGAAATGGAAATCTTAAAGATCTGTGAAAATGTAGCAGTGTATCGAAGCCCAGGTGGCTCTCCCCAAGCACCTGCTGTTTCGTTTGGCATGATTGAATTGCCGTGATTGTCTGATGCTGTAAATCTTTCTATGTGTATTTAATCGCACACAATAGTTAAAAGCTATCTCCCTATATTAAAAATACCATCATTTTATGTGTCCTTAAGCTCCACTGGTCTCACGTGTACATTGTAGAGCCGCGTATTATAGAGGCGAGCGTCTGAAATGGCAGTGGGACTATCACGGTGCAAGGGATAGGTACTAGATTGGATATATGATATTCTACAAAGAGGTTGAAAGTGGTACGATGTAACTTTGCCATATAATGGCAAAGATGACTAAGCATCCACTACGCTAATATACTACGCTAGTGAACCCGTGACAGGGACGCCAAGGCTCTCCACTCAACTGAACCCATTTATTAGAGTAGCAATTGCGATCTGTTCCTACGTAGGCTTTTGTGTTGTGTCTGCATCTCTTATCGTCGCGTGATCTCCGATAAGAAGTGTGAAAATAAGAGAAGTGTCGAAATAAAAAGTGTCAAAATAGGAAATGACAAAATAAGAAGTATCAAAATAAGAAGTGCTAAAATAAGAAAAAGTTTATTGTAGAGCTGGGCTAGTATCTGCAAGCAAATTTGACTATTGAATATATGAATAGGGTTAAAAGTAAAAATAGAAATTTTAGAGTGTATTTGATTTCTTTTAATTCAAGGAGTTCAATGATATTATTTATATTCTAATCAATCAATTTTTAAAGAAGTTATAATAGATTAAAGATAGACTTTAAGATTATATTTCCTAATTTAGCGAAAAAACAGGATATTGCTAATCGCTTATCACTTTCTGAATTAGGATTTTTCAAATATATATTCTTACTAATCGATTTCCCATCTTTCCCAATCAGAATTTTTCAAATATATATTATTAATTAATAATAATGTAATTTAATATCGAGTAATCCATTTTCATTTTAATTTATATTTTTCTTTTTTAATATGTGTTTTATTAATAATCCTATAATAAATTCGAATAATTAAAAAGCTTGTATACTCCTTATTATCGAATTTATTTATAAAGATAAAAAACTAAGTATTTGAAAAGCTGTTATATTTTATAATATTCCTTATACAACTCTTTGATATAGAATAAAAGATTTATTTCTTTGTATAGAAATTCAAGCAATAATTATAAGGTTATAGAATTGGAAGACGATAACCCGGATGTTAAGCAGATCCGAAGCGACTCACATGTATTCGATGCAGAAGCGATAGGAGTATGGCGCGGATTGGAGTATCTAATCATTATGCTTGAAGATCCCTTGAACAGCCGGATCGGGATGTGTATTGACAGTATATCGGTCATCTGGGGTATACGCGGAAACGCATTGCCCACAATGCAATGGGCTTTCCACAAGTGTCACAAAGCAATGAAACAACTCGATGTCAGGATAAAGTGGTCACCTGGATATATGGAGATCGAAGGTAATGAGGAAGCAGATTACTTAGCAAATGCAAGCGCAATTGGGCCTATGGATTAGGCAATCGATAAGCTATCAACAATCAGTAGGGTTCGAACGATTGTTCGTCAGAAGTACCTACATACAGAATCTATTTGGTGGGAAGAGATGAACTTTTCTTTCTTTGTTGGCTATAAGGAGTGGTTTTTTAGATATAATATAAAGGAGTCAAAGGAATTAATTCTATCAAGAGTAGTCTTATATTAACTGATAGCTATGAAAACAGGCCACAGCGATTATGCTGCTTATCATTAGCGATTTGATTATCAAAACAACAAATTGGATTGCTTATGCGGTAATATTAAGGAACTATATTACTTCTTTAAATGCACTATAAACCATCTAAAGCGTTCAGATTGGCCTCTTGCCCCTGTAGAAATGCAATCTAACAAGCAAGTGATTATATATATCAAGAAACTCTTACACATATCTAGCAAGCTTACTCAGCTAATCACCGACTCAAAGTTCTATATTCAGATCTATTTTAATTATTAAAGGATTCTTAGAAAGTAATAATCTTTTCAATAAGCTTGTTGCTTAGTCCTTAGAAACTCATCATTCAACTAATCACTCAAATATATTATATTTTTAAAAATTACAAACCTAATATATAACACAAGAGCCCTACTGCTCAGTTAAACAAATTGTGACGATTCAGTCCCTTTCAGGTCCTTTCTCAGTCACTTAGCTTCTAGAACCTTAGCCTAGCATGTGACTCATTAGTGTAATAGTCCGGAGCCCTTACAGTTCTTTTTTATTCTTTTTTTTCTTTTTTAGTTTTAGATTCTAAGATAGAATTGAATCCTTTTATAACAGTTTCTTCACATTATCTAAAACTCATTTATACAAGCCTCTACCGGTAACAGTATACCAAATAATATCTCATTTTTTTCTAGGAAACCCAAGTATCGATATTACATAGACTAGAAGAACCCTATACTAGAAGATAAGAAAAACATCTCTAAAAGGATAATTAAACCAACCACAATTCCTAATCCTCATACCAATTCTTAAGAAGATTTAAAAAGAATTGTAAAAAAATATACCTAAGCTTTTCCTTTACGATTCCAAAGAATCTAATATGATTATAATCTTTCAAAGCAAAGGATTATTGTATACTCCTTCTCCTCAAGCAAAAGATAGCCCTTCTATTTTCAATCTCAAATCAGTTTTGCTATCCTCGTAATAACAAAGAAGATTCGGATTCCCCATTTCTAGAATAATTAGGCTATAAAAGGCAAAGAACCAAATAAAAAAGAGCCTCCTACCTAGACTAATAATCTTCTCAATCTTATTACTTAGCAAGATACTACTATTCTGAAGTGAGATTGGAAATCAACAATATTTGTACCTCTCACCCTTCTAAGAAATAAATCCAGAATCAATCCCCTACTCCCCAAAAAGCCCTATATCAATAGTCTTGATACAATTGAACCTATAGATCCTACAAAAACCATTATACAACCCTTTATATAAAAAGAATACTCATCTTATCTCCTGATTCGATCTCTTCTCGACAATCCATATTTGATAAGCAAAGCACAACTTCTTTCTCCATTTCCTATAAAATAGGAAGATCCCTTACCTTACGGAAAAGCTTTCGAATAGCAAAGTCTGAAGCCTAAACTATAGAAATATCTGATTGAATATAATCTGGAATAATATACATATGCTTTTATTAGTGAAAAGCAATGCAGGATTTACATTGTCGCTAATACCGAAGGTATAGCTTGTAATCACTTGCAGCCCCTACTCCTTGATTTATTTCCCGAATATAATGCACAAGGATTAATTGAAGTTGCTATATAAGTTATTATTAATCCAACCAAGCAATAAATAATATTAGATTAATATAAAATATTGAGATAAGATGCAAATCAGTTATTTTGAGAATTCTATCAAAAATTTCGATAATTAACTAATACTATCGGAATTCAAGATAGTTTTATTTTTCTCAATAGCCTTCGAAACCGAATTAATACCAGATTAGCATATATTTGCATTACAGAGTTTGTTAGTTTTCGAAATGTTAATAATTATACAGCTCTCCTTCAAATTCATAATATGAATTACCAATTTATTAAAGCTAGGGAATATACAATTGTATCGGCCACCCGATCGAACCCTGCTAGCAACTGTACAACTGCTTTACAATAATCATGCTCTACATCTAAGACTAGTCAAGAGATCCTATAACATTCTGTGAATACCATTCCACCCTGTTTATCATCAAATTACCAATCCAATATAGTTTCCATTTTGAATAATCCTTATTATAATTCCCAATCTTGGAAATCTAATGGTTCAGTGAGAAATTCGATTCCAGCTCAATTCGATTTCTGAATTTAAGAGATTATTGATATTGATAAACTTTTTGGCAAATTTACCAGTGATCCTTTTGATACTCAATATTTAGTAGATTTTGTTCAGGAAAAAGAAATAATAAATACAAAGTCCTCAAAAAATGAATTTTAGGAAAAGTTTCCCTTTTAGAGTATCTAAAAGATATAAAATACCTTAATCTACGAAAACTAATGGAAGATTCTCATATAACTATTCCTTGCACGATTTCGAAACAAGAAACTGCTTTTCAAGTTCAAGTCCTTATTGATTCCAGAGCTAATGGCTATGTATTTATTGACGAAGCCTTTTTATAATAAATCTCCTTGGTATTCACTATCTTGTTGCTAAACTACCCTGCTTTAAATACCTGTTAAAGGGTTATAATAAACCTGCAGGTAAACAAATTACTTATTACACTTGTTTTATATTATGATTGATAACATATTCAATCATACACTTCTTTTCTGATTATTACTTTTTAGAATAAGATAATATTATTCTAAGACGACAATAGCTAGCTGAGCATTCCCTCCTTTTTGATAACAAGAGCAGAACTGCTTTGGCCCAATTCCTTATTCTCCAACTCTTCTTTCGCTTCCAAAATTGTATTCTCTCTTGGGAAGACCTTACAATCTAAGTCTCTAGATTCAGCAATACAATTAGATGCTGAGTAAAGAGATCGAAAGTTAGATCAATATTAGAGAAGACGAAAATCCTTTATTCTTAATAATATACATTATTCTTCGAATCTAATTTTATAAGTTAATTCTGATTATGAAATCACCCTTTCGGATAATTCAATAGAATCTAATATATCCCCTGATATCCAAGTATTAGAAGTTCTTTTTCAAGAAAGCTCTAAAGTCTTGAAACCTTTAAAAAAGAATTTCGAAAAGACCTCAAAGGAGATATTCTCGATTCTGATTATTATTGGTAATACTTTTAAGAAATCAATAACTAAAAATATCAAGTGAATAAACAAAATTCTGAAGGATCTATTATACAAAATCTTAAAGAATAATTCATCTATATCTATATCTCGTAAAAGGCACTTTTCTATCTCACATTCCTCAAATAACTCTAAAGTGCCTAATCAAATTGCTTTTATTATAGGCCCTGTATTCCATTTGATCTGTATATATTAATAAAATGATGAATTATTCATTAGCTTTTCCACAAAATTAGTAAATTAATCAATTAACACT